TTTCCCTCACCACACTTAAGCTCCAGGAGAGCATGAGCCTTGTCTGTCTTGTTCACCACTCCTGGCACCCAGGCATCTTAGACTAAAATCTCAGTGTATTTTTGGAGGATACATGAGTCAAACTGGATTCAAGTTTACAGCTTTAGTGGCTTTACAAATGGCAAAATGGAAGGGTCTGAATTTTCACAAAAATGGCATTCATTTCCAAAAATGCAATCTGTTTAGAGAATATGAAATACCAATTTTAGAAAATATCCTCAAGCGTTCTTATTTGCACTTAATCGCTATATATATTAAACATTAAAGGAAATCTATGTTGCATTTTCAACTTGGCAAATGAGGCAATTCCGTTTTAGAAATGCAACAAGTATTGAGTTTCACATGAAAATATAAAGATTTCTGTCAGCATTACATCCTGCGATTCATGATTAAATTACTCCCTATTTGCCATTTTGGGCAAAAAGTTCATTTCAAAATAGCAACTGCCTTCACAGGAAGAAAGAGAATATTTTTTCCATAATTAAGTACTGCTGCCAGGAAATCAGAAAGTCTCTGTAGAGACCGTTGAGGGAAATATGTCAGCCAGTCTGACACACGCCCTTCTCTAAACTTAGTGAGATTATCCAAAGTACTTTCTTCACTCAATGGGCTGACTCTTTCTTTGCCAGATCTCACTCACAAATGTGCATTTTCCTTATCTGATACCTCCAATAAGAGTACAGGAGACTCAAAGGGGGAGTAAAAAGAAAACTTAAAAATCATGCAATATTAATAACATACCAACACATCCTTCTCTCTGAATCTCTATAGCATCTGACTGGAAAGAAGAAACCCATATGAGCTTAGTGGGTCAGAATCATGCATGAGCCTGTCTCCAGAGGCTCTGACTCACTGCGCTAGCGCCGAGGCCCAAGAGCTGCCTTAACTCATTATTTTAAATTGCTATTATCTCTCTCTCTCTCCCCCTCCTTCCCTTCTTCCCTCCCCCACCTCTCTCTCCACCCTCCTACACCACCAATCTCCCTTTTCTGCTTTACACAAGGTGTCCCCTAAAAATGAATACACACTTTGAACAATTATTAATTCCAACCTGAAAAGAAACATCAATTGAGCTATCAGCTGTTAAAGTGTATATACTTTCCTTTTTTTATTTTTATTTACTTATTTTTTAAAAAATATATCTTTACTGATTTCAGAGAGAGGAAAGGAGAGGGAGAGAGAGAGATAGAAACATCAATGATGAGAGAGTCACTGATCGACCCACAACCCGGGCATGTGCCCTGACCAGGAATCGAACCCCGATCGCCTGGATCCTACGTCGACGCTCAACCGCCGAGCCACGCCCGGCCGGGCTACTTTTCTTTTTTAAAAAAATATATCTTTATTGATTTCAGAGAGAGGAAAGGAGAGGGAGAGAGAGAGAGAGAAACATCAATGATGAGAGAGTCATTGATCGGTTGCCTCCTGCACGCCCCTGACTGGGGATGGAGCTGCAACCCGGGTATGTGCCCTGACCGGGAATCAAACCACGATCTCCTGGATCCTAGGTCGATGCTCAACTGCTGAGCTACGCGCGGCCGGGAAAAGCGTGTATACTTTTCATTGGGACACTCTGTATTTTTTACAACACTTAACACTACCTGACACACTATCTGACACACACTTCCTTATTTTCCATCTTATAGAATGAAACCTCCAGGAGGGATGGAGTTTTGGCTAGTCTATTCACTACTATATTCCTAGAAAAGTGTCAAGCACACATTGATACTCAAAAAACTAATAAAGAAATGAGTGAACAGATAGTAATGACAGATGATGAGGCCTAGTAGATAACAAATAAATGAATAAATGAACACAGGAGATAAAACAAATGAACATGGGTTCTAACATGAGTTCGGTGCCTAATCAGTTAAATAACTTCAGGTGAGTTATTCTGGTCCTCAAAAAGATCTCTATCATTAGCTCTATAACTCTGACACTCCTGCCACTCCACAAAAGTAGAAATTATGTTATGGGAGAGTGACACCATTTCCTCTAAGCCAGTCAGTAGGATAGTGGAAAGCCAGGAATAGAAAGGCCTCCCAGAATCCAAATATAACGCCTAAGCTCTTATAATCAACAACAGAATTATGACAAAATTTAAGAATGTAAAAATTAAAAAAAAAAGAACGTAAAATTAAATATTCCTAAAGAGAAAATTTGTTTTCTAAAAATATTCAAAAAAGGAATGCACACTCCCCAGCTTGCTTTTTTTTTCTCTAAATTTTTTATTGCCTCTACTCATTAAATCTCTGTGAACATTAACAAGTGTCTGTGGCTGAGGGAGAATGTTCCACAGCAGAGAAAGGAAAATACACACCCAGTTTTTCATAAGAAACTTTGGACCAACTTAATATTCATCCTTGGGCAAAATTCAGAATAACCCTCTCAGAAAGTCTAAAATTAGGATAATGGTTAGCAAAACAACAAAGACACTACAAAACAGCATTAACTGCCCTCCAGTCTAATTCTTAAATAAAGCCTCACGATCTCAAACAAACTATTAAAGATTGTGCATTTTCATTTGATGACTGAATGTTTCTTTTACCATTACCAATTTCAAACTAATGAAAGAAAAATGGCAAGTGAATAAAGGATTTTTAAAGTGAAAAAGATGCCACTAATTGAGAGAGCCAGAACTGCTCAAATGTCAGTCAAATGTTGTCTCAAACTTATGAGGCCCTCAGCCCAGGAGCTGCTTCCAGGGGTGGCCAGAGGAGACTTGAGCTGCACAGGAAAACGCACAGGGACTTTCAGTGAAATCACATAACTAAATGTGTGATATTTCAAATCGCTTTCCTCAGTACACATAACCATTTACTTCCAACACTACTTACAAACTCATAGTCTCCGTCCTGTGGTACTTTCCAGTCTGAGGAGTTCTTCAGTGGGCCGGGTACACTCTTGCCAAAACTATTGATCTGATTCTCCTTTTCTTTTTGTTCAAAGTATTCAAGAAATGATGGTTTTGCAGGCTGCATGGTCTCATCCCTTCCTGAAAACCAAGAAAAAGAAAAGGTAAAATTTAATGTCTTAGATTTCAGATAAGTTTAATAAATAGATCTGTCTCCATCCAGATGGGTTCCAGCCTCTGGATCCACGGCTTTTGGTTAGATAAGGACTTCTTCAAAAATCTAATGAAAACTGCAGGAAAATGCACAAGTGTTCACTGAAAATGTTTCTTACAATTGCAGAGGATTCACAGGCCTCCTAAAATACATACAAAGATCTCCTCAGGGTCCCTTTCTCTAGGTGGAAAGACTTGAGTGACACAATGACTGAGTAAACTGCAAATAATACTTTTGGGTCCCTTATAGCAAATAGTTTCTGTAATATTACACTGAAAACAGAGGGCAAGCAAACATATTTATTAATCATCTATATCCATAGTGTTCTCCACAGGCACTGCAGTAGGAAGGGGGAGTGACTCAGTAGGATGAATCACTTATTTTCATAATCTCAATTGGACTAATGAAAAATATGCATGAAGAAGAAAATACAAGTAAATTGCAATCCACTCTATGAAATATTATGTAACCTATAAAATACCACTTATAAATGGTTTATGCTAAAGTAAAGGGGGAAAATGGGATACAATAGTATATATACCGTATGATATAAATTCTGTAAAATCATATTCACAGGAGAGAAAATAAAAAGGCTGAAAGAAAATATACCAAAATGTCAACAGGATTTGTCTCTGATAGTAAGATTGTAGATGATTTTATTTACTTCTTTTAAACATTTTTCTTTTTTACTTTAAATAATTTTTAATTTTTTAATTACAGGTTACATACAATATTATATTAGTTTCAAATGTATAACCCAGTGATTAGACATTTATATAACTTATGAAGCGATAACACCCCGATAAATCTAGTACCCATCTGACACCACAGTTCTTTTAAACATTTTTTAAAAGAAAACAGTACAGGATATATATTAAATAGATAGAACAGATCATAAGAATTACAGCTGCACAGAAGATGGAGAAATCTTGCAAGCTGGGGCGGTCAGGGAAGACATTCTTAGGTTGGGCCTCAAACCATCCTTAAGAAAAGCATCAGCAGTTACCGAGCAGGGCAGTTATGTATGAGAGCAGAAGATAGCAATTACTAGTTACAACAAGTAACAATAGCAAAAAGAACAATTTTACCTGGCATGACTTAAAAACCTAGCTAGCTCAAGGTACCTATCTCATATGCTGAAGGGGCTTTGTGCTTGTGCTTAGTAGTCTAATACTGGAAAGTACAGTTTTTATTTAGTGCTTTCCATGAACATGTGGGTCTACAGCCCTTCTCCTCAGCAACCAGGAAAAAAGACTAGAAGGTTCAGAGCCTTAAGAAGTGGATAGGCTATGTATGGTGCCAGGTGGGTACTAGAGGTATCTGGGGGAGCACTTCTTAAGTTATATAAATGTCTAACCACTATGCTGTACACCTGAAACGAAAATAAAATAGTATTAAATATAAGCTGTAATTGAAAAGTAAAATTTAAATAAAAGATATCTTGGTTTCATCCTATTTCTGAGCATGGTTCTGTGCTATCCAAATAGCATTCCAGTAAATTCGCAGAAGAAAGGAGGAGGAGGAGGAATGGGTGGGGAGGGGTCTAGGTGATAAAGAACAGGAAGTGTTTCTCTCCTGGAACCCTTGTTCCCTGCAATCTTATCTCCTGACCTTGCCTAGTCCAGTTTCAAGCCCGCACCATTACCGCCTCTCAGACATCTGCCACTTACTATCTCCACTTCGAAGTGCAACAGCAGCCAATCCCAGATTTGCCCACCTTCAGATGTTGCCAGTAGCTCACTTCACTGTTTGTTGCCTCCTCACTTATTAGGAATTAAACAAAATATTTGCTAAGACTAATGAATGATTATATGCTGAGTGCGTGTTTTCTTTTGTTTGTTCTAGGTATGATGTTAAGTGCTTTTCATGTTTACCATTCATTTTTTAAGTTAAATTTAAAGTATTATTTCATAAGATAGTTCTGAAGGAATTACAACAAAATAAAACTTGTAAAAATGGGAGTGTTTGGGATTTGCTGACAGGTCAGGAAGCTAAGTCCTTCTGATTAGGCCCCTTCTCTGGGAGCACTAACTCTGCAGCAAGCCCACACATAACCCAGACATCAAAAAGGAGTGTCCAGAGAGCCTCCTTGAGCCAAGTAACTGCTGACATATGAGGTGTTCAGTGTACTTTTATACAAAATATCCTCCCTAGATACTCTGACCAGTTGAGCAGAGTAGAAAGTCTGGAAACAAAATAGAAAGCCCACATGGCTATCCAAGCAACTGGGTAGTTATTTGGAAAACGATTAAACTGGATCCACACCTCATACCTTAAACCAGGAAAACTCCAATGGAGAAGAGTTCTAATTGTAAAAATGGAAATCATAAGTACCAGAAGAAACCATGTGTGAATACATTTAAAACCTGGGTGTGGAAAAGGCTTTCTAACTATGGCAAAAACCCAGATGCAATAAAAAATGGATAGATGATAACCCTTTGTGTGAAGAAAACATCACAAATTTTTAAAAATGAATAGGCACACATACACGATGAACCAAGACAAAGGATGAACTGAAAGACAATGTTTGCAACAAACATTGTAATTTTTTTAAAGAATTTTCTTTTTAAGAGTTCTTTATATATTAGACAGATAAGTTCCTAAATACATAAAGAATTCTGAAAAATCAAGAAAGAGAAGACTAAAAAAAAAGGGGGGTGGGGTGGGGGGCTGAAGACCTGAAAAGACAGTATGTACACAAAGATATCCAATTAGTCCTTAAACATGAAAAAAATGCTTACGTTCATCCATAAAAAGAAAAACAAATCAAAACTACTTAGAGATGCAATTGCTTACATTTCAGATTGACAAAAAATCAAAAGCTTGACAACTTTTTATTTGCTGGTAAGCATATGGGGACACGCGCTTTCCTGCACTGCTGAACTGCAGTGCAAAATAGTTCAAGCCCTACAAAGGACATTGGGCAATATCTAAATATCAAAATATGAAACAGGAGAATGTCCAGAAGAATCCTGTGGTGTTATATTTGAACTGAAAGTATTAACATGAACTCATAGTTTACTTTAAAAGCATATTCTGAGCTTTTTTCATTAAAGGCTTTGAAGCAACACCACCCTATTACCAATGAGCACACCTAGAGCTCAGATCTGGGTTTCTAAAGACCATTCTCCACTCAAAGGAACTAAGGCTTCTTAAGAGAAATAGCTAATTCCAGGTATAGGGAAGAAAAAATATAAAACGGGCCTGGACACCTTTTTGTGTCAAAAAACGGCAAGCAAGTATTCAAAAACTGATGGGGACAGGATACAGAAGCCACCTTGAGAGGCTCAACTGGTAAATTCTGGGACACTTTCTCAGTGAGCATCAAAGATTAAACTGAATAAAAGAACCCATGAGCTCAGGGTAATAATCTGAAAGTGAAGAAGGTTGGGGAGAGAAGGGAGAGTTCTTCTTTAGAAAAATTGTCACTTGACAACGGTAGAATGGTAACAACAGAGATGTCCTGTCCTGGCCAGTGTGGCTCAGTGGTTAGAATGTTGGCCCATGCACTGAAGAGCCTTGGGTTCAATTCCCGATCAAGGGCACACACCTGGGTTGCAAGTTACATCCAGGCCCCGGTTGGGACACATGCAGGAGGCAACCAATCGACGTGTCTCTCTCACATCGATGTTTTTCTCTCTCTCTCTCCTCTCCCCTCCCCTCCCCCTTCCCTCCCTCCCTCTCTTCATTCTCTCTAAAACTCAATGGAAAAAGTATCCTCAGGTGAGGATTAATGGAAAAAAAAAAAGAGAGAATATTCTCTTTCTTAGGAAATTCACACACAAGAATATCTCTTGTCTTAGAAAATACACGCTTACTGTTTAAGAGTAAGTTGCATATATCATACACCAGCCTCTCCTCATTACTTCTGTCATTTCATGTTTGTTTATCCATCCATCTTTATATATGCACAGAAAAATGACTGATAACAACTTCTGGATAGAAATAACAGGTAATTTAAAATATGTTCTGTGGAACTGCTACAAAAAACCATAAGGACACTTTGTTAAGAAAGCACCATATCTAACAATAAAAATTGTATAATTAGTACTATGTACTTCTATGATGCTTGATTAATTCCTTTCAGGTGCAATACTGACAGATTTTAGAAACTCAGGTCTTTAAACCAGGAATGCCCTGGCCGGGGTGGCTCAGTTGGTTGGGCATCGTCCTGTGCACTGAAAGTTTGCCAGTCTGATTTCTGGTCAGGGCACATGCCCGGGTTACCTGCTCAATTCCCACTAGGAGGCGTGCAGGAGGCAGCTCATTGATGTTTCACTCTCACATTGATGTATTCTCTCTCTTTCTCCCTCTCGCTTCCACTCTCTCTAAAAAAATCAACTTTTTAAAAATCTTTAAGAATAAATAGATAAAACATGGCATAAACATCAAAGGAATGTGTCTGTTAGTATAATCATTTGTCTAACATCTATCACTGTTTACATGAAAAAATGAGAACATTTGCTTTCACATGACAGTCTCATCACAATTTCATGACCAACGTGAAAGTAGGAGGGAAGAAAATGTGCACTTATTAGTCACCTACCAGGTGCTAGACAAATGTACTATTTTCACTTAATCCTCAAGCCTTTTGAGGTATGTATTGCTACTTCCACCTTATAGGTGAGAAATTTGCCTAAGATTTCATGGCTAGTTACCATCAAGGAGAGAATATGAACCCTCATCATCAGGTTTTAAACCTGGTTCGCTGTATCTCATGTTGCAAACTCTCTAAAACCAAAATGAAAATTCCTGACATGTCAGAACTGCCATTAAGTTGAGTGTAGAAAGAGCAGGGAAATGGAATTTTCCCAGTAACCTTATCTTTGAACTTTCCTTTCAGCTCTTTTGAGCTAGATGATCAAGTGTGCTGGACACCAGCCTGTCAGTACTGAAAGCTTAAGAGAATCATTCCAAGCTGATTAAA